TCTGTGCTGACAGCTCAGAGCCTGAAGCCTGCTTTGGATTCCGTCTCCCTCTCTCTTTGCCCCTTCCCCAGTCATGCTCTGTCTCTCTCACTCTCTCAAAAATAAATAAACATTAAAAAAGTGGCCCAGGTGTTTGGACTATAATAACATAGGTGGAAATACTAATATTTTTAAATGTTTTAAAACCTGGAAAAACTATACAATTTTTTTTTATAGGCAGAAAGGAAACTGTTCAAGTTTGAGCCACATTTTTCATTAAGTCACAAGTAAAATGAATTGGTTATATGAAATACATATTTATAAGATGCAAGGGAATTACAGCATTAGGCTCTAAGAAAGCTATTATGTAAGCTTCAGGACAGAGATCTGTTTTTATTCACTGATACACACTGAGTACCTAAAACAGCACCAGATTTTTAGTTAAGGTGTTGGCAGTTAAAGCCAAAGTAGTACTTTGATATATAACCTTTTTGCCATGATGGCTTGTTTGTTTCAGAGCTGTTTATGAAGAAATTGATGTTCATCACCAGAAAGGAGCCCAAAGTCACAGTGACTGTTGAGGTAGACTTCAATGACACAACTTCTATTGCCCACTCTACAGAATTCCTGTGTAACTGCCACTTTGTGTGTTTAGTATTCACATTTTGTAAAGGCCATCTGAGTCTGACACTTTGAGTATAAATCTTAGTACAAAAGCTCATCTCAGTCACTCAAATTGGAATGAAATATCTTTGTAATCTTATTAGCTAAAAATAATCTTTAGAATGTAGAAGTTGGTTTATGGTATAGAAATATTAATGCTAACAAAAATAATGATCAACAGAAACTTCTTAGCACTGAAATAGACATGTATCTTTTATGTACAGTTAAGGAGTGGTAGAACCCACTCATTGGTCATCCAGGGAGGCCTGGATTCCTCCTATATGCTGTATTAATCATACCATTTTATTTACTAATGAACGTGTGGCCACCAGTAGCCCATTAACCTTGTTTATTCCCCTCACACCCTCCTCCATGGAAGTAATACATTCCCATGTTTCTGCATTAGGTTGTGAGTCTCTCGTTATCCAGGAATGGAGAAAGAGAAGGAAAGGCTGAAGGCCGGCTGTCTTCTTCTTACACTAGGTGGAAGTGGGTGACCAGCTCACTAACTGCATTTAGAGGTGTCACCTCTCCTATGCAGCTTGGAGGCCCAGAAGACCAGACCTACCAGCACATCAGAACCATGGTGGAACAGTTCTCCTCTGCAGTAACAGAAGAGTAACAGTTCCAGAGTAACATTTATATTTCCTGACCACAGCTTAAGCTTTAATTTTGAAACAACTTGGTTATAACGTATATTCACTTAAAACTTCAGAAGAAAAATTCACTGTACCTAGGCCAGCGGGTTTAATTATAACATCTTAGGCTTCACAGGCCTTCCTACATTTAGAAAAGAAATCCTCACACTGCTGTGATAAGAGTAGATGAAGATTATTTTATTACAAAATAATTATGTAAACTATTGAGTGCCTTCATTTAAAGTTGAATGTAAAAGTCAATTTTTACTTTTTTTTTTTTTTTAATAAAGAATACTTGTTTAGAATTAGGACTGGTAAAAGCCTTGATGATTGTAGTTTATATTTCAGGTACTGTGAAGAGGTCACTGGACTCTGTATCAAGTTGCCTTTAAATATGGTTCTTTATAATACTAAATGATCTTTTTCTCCCCTTTTTACTGCAATTAATATTTCTATTTGAAACAAACGCTACTGAAAACATTCAGAATATATTGTACGTTTATGTCATAAATTACAATGATAAAAAAATTACCATTAAAACAATTTAATACATCTTTTTTACACGTCTGTTCATAGAACTTCTGATGTCAGTAAGTTCACACTTATTCACAACCCCACACTTACATTTTAACATTCAGGGACTTGAACTATCACAGGAAATACTAGAATTCTAGTAAACGTATTTATGCATTTTCTTTCATTTTCATGATGCTGAAATTTCAAAATAATTAGTCAGTACTCAGAATATAAAACAGGCCTAGATCCTAAAGGAAAAAGAGAGTCAAATCTGAAATCAGAATGTAATCTCTGGGCAGGCTGTTAGGACTCAGTGATTCCTCTTCCATTGTGAGCTTTTAAAATAGGATGGTTCACAATAAAAGAAAGTAGTAACCAACTATTTTAGAAATAACAAAAATAGGCAGAAGTTATGGCCTGGAGCCTAAAACAACTGTGGGAATAATAAAAGTACTCAGTGCTATAAGTATGAAGGGCTAATAAACTGAACCATGAAGTCCGTGCCTACTTATTTAAGAAACAAAGCGTTTCTTTTAATATTACCTATCAAACTCTCTGGTTTTGAACAGTCCTACATTCTAAATGGGCCTGTAGATTCCTTATGACTGACAGCTGAAACTGTTCATTCAATTTTAAGCAGGGTAAATTAGTTGAAAAAATAAACACAGCATTATATAATATTTAAAATAGCTTTACATTACTGTAAAGTATTTCTCCCCTGAGAAGACTAAATACATGATTTTTCAAAAATCACAAATCTGAAGCAGGACTTAAGATGCTGACTTCAATTATAGCCTGGAAGCGGCAACTTCTGTCCCTCCTTTGCTTCAAAAAAAGTATAAGAAAGAGTGATGAGATCAACATTCACCATTCTTGGATCTTCAGCAAATTCAGGATCGATGTAGAAAAACACTGGCATATCTACTTCCTCTTGTGGATTAAGCCTTTGTTCTTCAAAACAGAAGCACTAGAAATTATAAAGGGTATTTGTTTAGTTTCTGTTAGAATACAAATAATAATGGTTCATTTCTTGGCTGTAGTGAGCATACTGCAATTAATATTACAATAAAAAATACAATTAAATATAAACTAAGTTCTGTGACAGAATGACATTCTCTTTTCATCTCATTGACTTTTGCTTTAAAATTAAGACCAAAAATTGTTTTAAAGTTAAAAGCAGATTCCCATTTGGTTCATCGTCTCAACAACGAACCATAGTTATTATAAGCAATGGGAAAAAAGTTCAATGTTTAGAAGAAATGACTAGTTTCTACACAACACTGCAGTAAGTTTAGTACTAACCAGTTTATGGAATATGATGAAAATACATAAAAGTTTGCATATAGCTATACCTGTATTTTATTGAAATACTGTCCAGCTTCAAATGGTACAACATTGTATGTAGAAATTCCAATTACTGGTTTGTCTGTAGGATTCTTAGCTTTATAAAACGCCAGTGCAGTCTCTCCTGGCACTACCTGTTTTAAGAAAAATATACATTATCAATACTTTAAATCTCACAGCTCCTCCTTTCCCTATTAGTCATATTTTTCCTATTCGTCAGACCACAATATTTTATCTAATAATGTCGAAGGTCAGCAAAATAAATTGTGGATACTACCCATGAACATGGGGTTTTTTAAATTTTTTTTTTTTTTTTTTTTTTTTTTTTTTTTTTTTTTTTTTTTTTTTTTTTTTTTTTTTTTTTTTTTTTTTTTACATTTTACTTATTTTTGAGAGAGAGAGACAGCACAAGTGGGGGAGGGACAGAGAGAGAGGGAGACACAGAATCCAAAGGAGGCTCCAGGCTCTGATCTGTCAGCACAGAGCCTGACATGGGGCTGGAATTCACAACCTGTGAGATCATGACCTGAGCCGAAGTCAGACGCTCAACTGACTGAGCCACCCAGGCACCCCAACATCTGGTTTTTAAATTTTATTTGCCTATGTCCATGAAGAACTAGTGCTCTATTAATCATTAATTGTGTACCGTCCTCTTATATATCTGAAGTCTTCAAGCAATGATCTGCAAATTATTTAAAATGTCCGAGGGGCACCTGGGTGGCTCAGTCAGTTAAGCGTCCGATTTCGGCTCAGGTCATGATCTCACGGTCCGTGAGTTCGAGCCCCACGTCGGGCTCTGTGCTGACAGCTCAGAGCCTGGAGCCTGCTTCAGATTCTGTGTCTCCCTCTCTCTCTGACCCTCCCCCATTCATGCTCTGTCTCTGTCTCAAAAATAAAATAAACATTAAAAAATAAACACACAAAAAAAAAAATGTCCAAGGAAAGCCAAGCCTATCATAGCCCAAGCCTGACTTAACACTTATACCTGAACATAATTATATGACCAATATAGATTCTTTTTACGAGGTTAACATTAAACTCAGCTTACAACCAGAGTAAATTGAACTTCTAACCAGAGTAAAACTGACTGAATAGAATTTTTATTTAACCAAAAAGCACTAATACACTTTTTGAGAGAACAGATTTTTTTAAAATTGCAAGGCTGTAGGGGCCCTGGGTGGCTCAGTTGATTAAGCATCAGACTTCGCCTCAGGTCATGATCTCGCGTTTCATGAGTCTGAACCTTGCATTGGGCTCTCTCCTGTCAGTGCACGGCCCACTTCGGAAACTCTGGCCTTCTCCCTTTCTGCTCACATGCACTCCCTCTCTCTCAAAAATATTTGGGGGGTGCCTGGGTGGCTCAGACGGTTAAGCGTACGACTTCGGCTTAGGCCATGATCTCGCGATTTGTGAGTTCGATCCCTGCATTGGGCTCTGCAGATGCTGACAGCTCAGAGCCTGGAGCCTGCTTTGGGTTCTGTGTCTCCCTCTCTCTCTGACCCTCCCCCACTTGTGCTCTCTATCAAAAATAAATAACATGAAAAAGAAAAAAAACATTTGGAAAAAATTGCAAGGCATTAAAAAAATCAATTTCCAAAGGATTCTCTGTCCTTTGTGCCATTTCAGACACTAATATCTTGCACACTAGTATATAATTAGAACATTCAAAATCATAACCTATGAAACCCTTAATCATTGAAGAATTCAGTCATGTTTACTAACATGCGGGAACACCAATATTTATAAGGGTTTCCCAATAAGAGTCACAATTAAGCTTTTCTGGCTATTCCTCAGCTCATGAGATAATTTCAATTAAATCCTCCAGGATTCCAGTTAGTGAAGATTTTAGGAAACTTTTAAAGTAGAGCTTTTCTGAAGTAGAACATGACTATTTATTATGGTTACTTCAAAGGTTCTCATTTTTTTTTTAAGAAATAAGGATACACACAAACACACACATTTTTAAAATTTATTTTTAAGTAATCTCTACATCCAACATGGGGCTTGAACTCATAACCCCAAGATCAAGAGTCACATGTTCTTCCCACTGAGCCAGCCAAGAGCCCTGAGATGGGGATCCTTTTTTTTTTTTGAGAGGCAGAATGCTTGTGAGGCAGGAAGAGGGGTAGGGAGAGGCTGAGAGAGGGAGGGGGGAGAGGGAGAGGGGGAGAGAATCCTAAGCGGGCTCCACACTCAGGACGGATTCTAAGGCAGGGCTTGATCCCATAAACCATGGGGCGATGAGCTGAAATCAAGAGTCAGATACTTCACCAACTGAGCCACCCAGAGGCTGCAGTAGTTTACTAATTTATATCAAAAGTATCCCTTCTTGGCGCACCTGGGATCCAGCCCCACTAGGGCTCTGCACTATCAGCGCACAGCCTGCTTGGGATTCTCCCTCTCCATCCCTCTCTGCCCCTCTCCCGTGTGCACTCTCCTCACAATAAATAAGTATTTTTTAAAAATGAGTAAACTACTTTTCATTGTAACCAATGATTTTCCTTTTTTTCCCCTTATCTATACCTGAGGCTATGCTACACACGGCAGCACCGCTGCTCCTACTCTCAGGATTACTGTCCACAAATTTCTTAGTGAATTCTTAATACGACTCTGATAAAAACCGAGGACCTTCTCCACTGTTCCAAACTGACATTTACTGCAGTATCATTTAACTTAAAGTATATTCTGTTACATTGAGATAGGGCCCTGTCAAAAAGTAGTCTGTGAGAATAAAAGAATTATAGTAATGGAGTATCAGTTTTTTGAGATTATGTTTACATGAGTGTTCCCTAAATTGTGAAAGTTTCAGTGATGCAATAAAATAATTTTTACAATGAAAAAGGTAATCTTTTCATAACTACTTTAATCACTTACATAGATTTCTGTTTGCTGAGGTCTAAAATTCCACTGGAGGCTTGCATGCACATCTGCATTAAAGGTGACTTTGATAATTCGATCCTTCACAGGCACCATGTTTTCAATCTGGTCCGACACATGACCTGCTACTGCTGACCCTCCAAGACCAGTAGTCTAGGTATTAAAGATATTAAGTATATTAAAGTAGAACATGTTAAACAATACTTACAGGTGATTATGGGATAAAAACAAAATCTTAAAAACAATTTAATAATCTAGTAGGATCCCAGTTCATACTGTCACTGCCCATTTCCTATGAATGTATCAATGGTTTGACCACCTCTGGGGTGTCAAGGGCCTGTATTTGTTAGAGTCATATTTTTTTTCGGTAATCACTTGGGTATTGGACACAGTAAAAAAAAAAAAAAAAAAAGTCATATGGGAGAAAGCTGACTCACCAATGGTAATATAATCGGTACAGCTTAACTTTTCATAAAACCTATTTCCTTTTATTGCCAGTGTTTTATATAAACTATTAGTCATTAGAAGTAAAAATTACCCATGACCCTATCATTTCAATGAAACTATTTAAATAATTAAAATTACCCACTTAGCCCCCCTCTGATCCCTTTCATCACTTTTATGGCATATAGATTAGTTTGTAGCTTCCTTTTGTATTCTGCTTTTTTCAAAGCATCTAGTGTTCTGCCATGTTAATAAATGTTTCTGTAATTTTTCCTGTACTTCTTTGTATAAGTACAGCTTTTATAAACATCATCAGTTAATCAGAGAACTAAGTCCTTTCACGGCTGAATCCTTGAACCTTAAGACATCAGGAATATTTGTGCCTGACTCTTCTTGCCTATCTTCATTGCCATTATCTCACATCACAGATGTTTAAAAATAAAATGTCTTACTTCGGATCATCTTCTGATCGCGTGAGGTTGCCAGAATTCTGGTCTTGGGATAATTAATCATTTACTATACTGGGAAAAATATCAAATTTGAAGAACTGGGAAGACTCCAGCAAATGCAGTATTACTATCTTCCCACTTATTGTACACAAGTCACTAACTGTACTCAGCTGCCGCTACCTACTGAAGTACATTATGAACCTACAAGATGTGATAGAGGGCAAGCCTTTTATCTTTCAAGTAAATTCTGCCGGAGACTATAATGCTTAAGTTTTAGATGTAACTCCTGAAGAATCTAGAATCAAAGTTGAATAAAGATTCCTTAATATATTGTGACAGGAAGTCTCTGGGCCAGATCCTTCTGCAAACGATGATGAAGTAAGAATAAGTAATGAAAATATTTCCTGGGCTCTAGTCTAGTTCTGCCATTAACTAACTCCAGGGAATTAAATACATTTACTTTTGGGGGGAGTTATCCATACTTTCATAAATGAGGTCTCTGTATTAAATTGTTTATATAATTCTTTATTTTTTGGCTCTAAGTTCTGTGATTCCAAAGCTGAAAGTGATCTTCTGGAAACTTAACATCAAACTTGACTGAAGTTTAGGATTACAATTGTTTTGCCTATCCTGCTCTGCATTTGCACACACGTAAAATACTGTCATTCACTTCAGTTTAAGAAGCAGAGTTTCACTTTGGAACTAAGGGCATTTTGGTTTGGATAATTCTTTGGTTTGGGGAGGAGCAGTGTCTGTGCTGTGCAATGCTGAATGTTTGCAATCAGCATCCCTAGACTCTACCCC